GATTAAAGTCTGGATTTTCATTTTAAGGCCAAAATTCCCGTTTTGAGCACAAAGTTGAGGGGGAAATTCCCATTTGAGGACCCAAATTGTTCATTTGAGCAGAAATTTGTCATTTTAAAGGCAAATCTTTAATTTCGAGGATAAACTTCTTGTTTTAATTAATGAAATTCCTTACCCAGGTCGGAGGTCAGTTTGCCTGAAATAAAAAAAAATGAAGGAAATTCAATTTATTTGGGGTTTTTGCAGGTCTGGATCCACCCCAGCGCCCAGGGACAAAAAGGACCCAAAATCCCAAATTTTTCAAGCCCAAAAACCCCCCCGGATCCCGACAATTAATGATTAATTAGGGGTTAATGAGGAAAGGAAGAGGCACTCACTGATCCGCCTGTCGCGCTCCTCTGGGGAGGGGAGAGAGGGAGAGGGGGTCAGAAAATGGGGGAAAAATGGGGAAAATAAAGGGGAAAAAAGGAAAAATAAAGGGGAAAAAAGGGGCGAAAAGGAGGAAAATAAAGGGAAATAAAAAGGAAAATATAGGGGGAAAAGGGGAAAAAAGTGGGGAAATAAAGGGGAAAAAATGGAGAAAATAAATGGGAAAAAAGGGGAGAAAATAAAGGGGAAAATTGGGGAAAAAAGGGGGAATAAATGGTGAAAATAAAGGGGAAAAAAGGGGCGAAAAGGAGGAAAATAAAGGGAAATAAAAGGGAAAATATAGGGGGAAAAAAGTGGGGAAATAAAGGGGAAAAAATGGAGAAAATAAATGGGAAAAAAGGGGAGAAAATAAAGGGGAAAATTGGGGAAAAAAGGGGGAATAAATGGTGAAAATAAAGGGGAAAAGGGGGGGAAGAGGGAGAAAATAAAGGGAAAAAAAGGAAAAATAAAAGGGAAAATAAAGGGGGAAAAGGGAGAAAATAAAGGGGGAAATAAAGGAAAAAAGGGAGGAATAAAGGGGGGGAGAAAATAAAGGGGGAAAAGGGAAGAAAATAAAGGGAGAAATAAAGGGGGGAAATAAGGAGGGGAAAAGGGAAATAAAGGAGGAAAAAGGGAAAAAAAGGGGGGAATAAAGGGGAAAATAAAGGGAGGAAATAAAGGGGAAAAAAGGAAGAATAAAAATAAAGGAGAAAAGGGGGAATAAAGGAGGGGGAAAGGGGAAAATAAAGGGGGAAAAAGGGGGAAAAGAAGGGGAAAAAATGGAAAAATAAAAGGAAAAAAGGGAGGAATAAAGGGGGGAAGGGAGAAAATAAAGGGGGAAAAGGGAAGAAAATAAAGGGAGAAATAAAGGGGGGAAATAAGGAGGGGAAAAGGGAAATAAAGGAGGAAAAAGGGAAAAAAAGGGGGGAATAAAGGGGAAAATAAAGGGAGGAAATAAAGGGGAAAAAAGGAAGAATAAAGGGGAAAAAAGAGAAAAATAACGGGGGAAAAGGGGGAATAAAGGGAGGAAGTAAAGGGGGGAAAAGGGAGAAAATAATGGGGGGAAAGTGAGGAAATAAAGGGGAAAATAAAGGGGAAAAAAGGAGAAAATAATGGGGGGGAAAAGAGAGAAAATAAAGGGGGAAAAGGGGGAAATAAAGAAGAAAAATTGGGAAAATAAAGGGGAAAAGGGGAAAAATCGGGGAATAAAGGGAAATAAAGGGGAAAAAGGGGGGAAAATGAAGGGAAAAAGAGGAAAATAAAGGGGAAAAAAGGGGGAAAAGGGAGAAAATAAAGGGGAAAAAGGGGAAAAATAAAGGAAAAAAAGAAGAAAATAAAGGGGAAAAATGGGGAAAAATAAAGGAAAAAAAGAAGAAAATAAAGGGGAAAAAGGGGAAAAATAAAGGAAAAAAAGAAGAAAATAAAGGGGAAAAATGGGGAAAAATAAAGGAAAAAAAGAAGAAAATAAAGGGGAAAAAGGGGAAAAATAAAGGAAAAAAAGAAGAAAATAAAGGGGAAAAGGGGAAATGAAGAGGAACTAAAGGGGAACGAGGGTGGAGTTACGGGGCTGCTGGAACTCGGCCCAGAACATCCCAGGGAAAAGGAAATTCCCTCACCCAGAGCTGCATTTTCCCCTGAAAAAGAGAAAAAAATCCCAAATTGGGTCAGTTTGGGCCCTGCCCGCAGGGGAAGCAGAGCCCAGCTTAATTAAATCGATGCTTAATTAATTAATGGCGATTGGGGGCCGAGCCAGGAACAGCAAACCCGGGAATTTTGGGGTGCAAATCTGGGAAATTCCACCCAAAAGTGAGGAGGGGAGGTGGGGGCAGCCCGGGGAGGCAAGGCTGGATTTTGGGGCAAAGGAGGCGGGATTTGGCAGCTGGTCCTGCAAAAAAAGCAATTTGCGCCCCAAAAAAATGCATTTCCACCCCCAAAAATCAAATTGCACCCAAAAAAATGCACTTCCACCCCCAAAAATCAAATTGCACCCCAAAAAAATCAATTTCCACCCAAAAAAAGCAATTTCTACCCCAAAAAAGCAATTTCCACCCCAAAAAAGCAATTTCTGCCCCAAAAAAATGCACTTCCACCCCCAAAAATCAAATTGCACCCCCAAAAAATCAATTTGCACCCAAAAAAAAGAATTTGCGCCCCAAAAAAATGAATTTCTGCCCCAAAAAAATCAATTTGCACCCCAAAAAAAGCAACTTCCACCCAAAAAAAGCAATTTGCACCCCCAAAAAAATGAATTTGCGCCCAAAAAGAATTTGCGCCCCAAAAAAATGAATTTCTACCCAAAAAAAATCAATTTCCACCCCAAAAAAGCAATTTCCACCCCCAAAAAAAGAATTTGCATCCAAAAAAATCAATTTCTACCCCAAAAAAAGCAATTTCCACCCCAAAAAAGCAAGTTCCACCCCCAAAAAAAGAATTTGCATCCAAAAAAATCAATTTCTACCCCAAAAAAAGCAATTTCCACCCCAAAAAAGCAAGTTCCACCCCCAAAAAAAGAATTTGCATCCAAAAAAATCAATTTCTACCCCAAAAAAAGCAATTTCCACCCCAAAAAAGCAATTTCTGCCCCAAAAAAGCAATTTCCACCCCAAAAAAGCAATTTCTGCCCCAAAAAATCAATTTCCACCCCAAAAAATCAATTTCTACCCCCAAAAATGCCTTTCCACCCCAAAAAAGCAATTTGCACCCCCAAAAAAATCTATTTCTGCCCCAAAAAAAAGAATTTGCACCCAAAATAATTCAATTTCTACCCCAAAAATTCAATTTCCACCCCCAAAAAAATCTATTTCTGCCCCAAAAAAAGAATTTGCACCCCAAAAAGATAAATTTGTACCCCAAAAATCGATTTCCACCACAAAAAAAATCAATTTCCACCCCAAAAAATCAATTTCTGCCCCAGAAAGATGAATTTGCACCCACCGGGCTCCATCGCGGCGCCGCTCCCAGCCAGGATCCTCAGCCTGGGGAAAAAGGCAACAATTGGGTCAGGTTTGGGTTTTCCAGGAAAAACTGGGAATTTTGGGAATGTTCCAGCCCCGGGGAGTGAGGGCAGGGAAGGAGTTTTCCCAAATCCCCAAAAAAATCCCCCCAAAAATGCCCAAATAATGCCCAAACCCCCCGATCCCCAAATCCCAAAAAAAATCCCTCAAAATCCCCAGATCCCCAAATCCCCCAATCCCCAAAAAATCCCCCCAAAAATGCCCAAATAATGCCCAAACCCCCCGATCCCCAAATCCCAAAAAAAATCCCTCAAAATCCCCAGATCCCCAAATCCCCCAATCCCCAAAAAATCCCCCCCAAATCCCCAAAAATTCCCCCCTAAAATCCCCCAAAAAAA